CTATGTCACTGACATTGGGTATTCATATTTACGGAGTAACAACATTTAGGTTTCTAACATCAATATAGATTCTAAGATTCCAATTCTTATTAATTATATGAACAATATTTGCTAACCATTCAACATACCTGGCATTTCTTACGAACTTATTCTTGAGAAGCCTTTCGATTTCTACTTTGATTTCTGACATGACTTCTGGTGCTAACCTTCTTGATGTATGCTTTATTGGCCTTTTGTCGGTACAAATTGGTAGTTTTAACTCCACCAAATCCTGACTAAGTCTTGGCATCTCTTCATCGTCCCAGGCAAAGCAGTATTTGAACTCTTTCTGTAACTCAATTAAATGGGCTTTCAGACTTGGCTCAATCTTAGCACTTATGAAAGTCGACTTTTTGATTGTGCCATTCCCTAAGTCGACCTCCTCTAACGATTCTTGTGCTTGAATCCTCTTAGTCAAAACCAAATGATATTTCTCGAATCCCAAAGGTTTGTCATCATAGATGCAATCGAGCTTCTGGCTTCCTGAAACTGGATCACCACCATTTTCATCTTCTTTATTGGTTTCAACTACAGTGGCTTCAATGACCATCTTTTGTTTCGGCCCTGACCCTAACCATTATGGCCTCCAATAATCTTGTACTCCACATGAATTCATGTGTAGGATGTAGATTTATGGAATAATATACATCTCCCTGCAAGGATAACCCAGTTCCTTCAGGTGTACATGGCGAAATATTCGCCAATTTCCTGGCAAAGTTCCTCTTATATATGTGGTTTACATCTGCTAAGAAACAATTTTGGTCTGCTTCAAAGTTTTCCATGATCCCTACATGTTTTCAAATTGTAATTATCTGATGCATGGTCAAAAGGACTACCCTTACCCATGAATCCATTCTCGACCAAGGAGTAAGTTATAATGCCCTTAGTTGGAACGACCATAAATAAGGTTGGTCTAGTAGTGGTCCCTACGATCACATCCACTTATATAACCCATAGAGTTTTACTTGTATTTCCTTCATTGTTTTATAAAATCATGTTGTGAGGTTACAAGTCATTATCATATTTTCCAAATTTTCTTAGCAAGGAATATGGCATTATGTTAATGAAAGCCCCACCATCTACCAAAACCTTATTTTTTCCTACATTTTCAACCTTGGTTCTTATGAACAGGGGCTTTAAGTGATATTGCATTGTCATATCATACCTTTCAAATATAGTCATATCCTCATTGACACACCCATCTTTCATCACATAATAACACAAAGGTTTGTGTGTTGTCAAATCTTCTACCAATCCACTTTCCTCATCGGTCACCTTAGTGACCATATCATATTCTATGTGCAACACAAATATCATGTTATCGTTTTATCTAATTCAGGTTCAAAACCAAAATCAAAATTGTCTATGGCCATGTCTTTATCATTCATCTGAGTGGCCTATTTCTTCTTGGATTTCGCCATATGTGGAAAAGTCGGGAACAATCTTTGGTTGACAGGCCTTTTTGTCGTCTGATCTTCATTTATGGCTTGAACACAGCCATTTTGGCTTGAGATTTAAACCTCGAAGTCATCCTTCTTCTTACGTTCGTGCCTTCTCCATTATGTCCTTGTCATAGGGTTCTTTCCCATGTATTTTTTAGAAGTGTAAGAATACTTCTTCTATAATTACAAATTGTCATGGTACGATGATCATGTTCCAGCTTTAATCGGTCTCCATTTGTATTGATCGTTGTTTGTTTTTTTTTTTGCAGGTCTAATCCATTCACCCGTGGGGAATATTGGTGGGTGGGACATAAGTCATGCTTTGTTGTATTTTGTGAGGGACCCGTCTTTTTTCAAAGATGAACTTATATTGCTTGTCTTGTTTAACAAACCTTCTTAGTTGATGGTTGTAGGGTATTGACCTTATCCATTTCTTTGGAAGATTCTTTGTCGAAGAATGCATTGCAGCATGGACAAAGCATAACTTCAGAGTCTTTGATCTTATATCTATTTAGTAAGTCAATTAGTTCTTCCTCAACTTTGGGATATATCACTTTCATCTTCTCGGTGTAAGTGACTTCGTCTACCTTTGTGTCGAGGTCTTCAATGATGTCGACCATCATTACCTCTACAAGTTCGACAAAAAAGGCTTCTTCAGCCTTGGATTCTGAGTCACCTTCCACTTGACGCTTTTGTTTATCTACGACTTTCAGTCTTCCATCCTTTGCATTTTGTACTAGATCCCTGAAAAAAATACATTAATAAATTTTATGACTAAGAAAATTATGAAATTTTCAAAAACCCTTTCTCTTTATTTGTTATAATTGCGGTGTCTTGGGTTTTATATCTATTTTTTAAAATTTAAATATTTAATAAAATGCAGTAGAAAGAAGACCAAAAACAACCCATTTCTCTTCTTCAAAAATAGAGTACAAGCTTCAACTTCTTCCTCTTTGAAACTCTTGAATTGCACCACCGCCATTGAGCCGCCTCCGTCGTGGCCTACCACCCACTTCACCTCCACCTTCAGTTTGTTGAATTTTCATTAGTTTATTTTGATTACAGTACTTGAAAGCATAAGCATAGAAGAATATGTATAGAAATTACAATCTGCAGAGTTTGTTTGCACGTTATCTTCTTCAATCACCACAAATTCAACTCAAATTTTCTCTTCTACAAATTTTGTTACTTAGAACAAAACAAAACTACATAAAAATGTTAAGAAAAATTCAAAAATTTGTTCCCAATATTGTGAAATTTCAAACATGGATGTAGAGAAATTCAGATATGCATAATAGGTGTGCTGAAATTCAGAAATTGAAATAAATTAAACAGGTTAGAAATTTCAAAATGGTAGTCCAATAGAAGTAATGGTTCGAAACATTAATATAATTTTTTCACACATATAAATATTTTGGTCAACAATATATTTTCTCGTGTGTAAAGATTAATTTTATTTTAACAATACACTTTTATAAAAATATTTAGATCACTAATACAATTTTACATATAAAAATAAAGTCCAATACAAAGTATATAAATTTTTCCCATACATTTATATTTGTATCATATATTTTATTATATTATCAATGACAAAGAAATATCATTATAATAAATTTAGATAAATTCTTAAAAGTAATGGTTTTTTTTTCCGTTAAAATCATTCTTTTTATTCTATAATAATTTTTAAAAAAATATTTTCACAAATTTAATAAAATTAATTTTAATAATATTTTGTTTAGTGACTTATGCAACCATAAACAGAATATTGAGCATGTGTCACAATACACACATTTTGTTTAAGCAATGAATCACAATATTGAAATCAATTATACTTAAGTAATGAATTAGGAAAATGATGATGCATGTTAATAGTGGACTTTTGAGTGAAGCTAAAAGAGTTTTTGATGAAAGAATTGAATTTGATGATGTGGATTTACAAAGAAAAAGAAAGTTCATCTTGTTATTTGGATATTTCGTTTCGTTTATAGATTTACAAAGAAAAAGAAAGTTCATCTTATTATTTGAATTTGCAAGTTTCACCATGCTGCATGCATGTTTTGTTTCGGCTTTCTAACTCCAAATACTCCATATATGATATTTAATCTAAATAAAAAAATAAGCCTTTATAGTTTTTCAAATCATAGTACTTACTAATTTTTTAAATCAATTGATAATAGTAATACAACAAACTAAACACATGATCTTGTTTAGCAATGTCAACCTGCTTATATTCTTGCTGTATATGAATACGGAGATATTATATCTATCCTAAATATTAACCTACACGAATATACTTAACTGAAGAACAACAACTGGTCGGTGTTACAGGATCTATTTAAGTAGAAATTTCAGGCGCATTGAATTATTCGTAATAGCAATATCTTTTAAATTCAGAATACGCTGAAGAACCAATTCACTTGTTTTTTGAATCAACTCGCTCACAGACACAGACTATGTTAACATTCCTTCTGCAACTGTTACATTTGAACATATTTTGAAATTCACAAAATATTAAAAATTTGGCTCACAACAGAACACCTCGTAATTAATAATGCAACATGTACATCGACTAAAATCATAAAAGTCTTTATGTGACCCCAATACAACTGCAACCATTATCTAAAACTTTGTATATATATTAATAAGTGTATGCTTCATAGTGTGGTAGTTACCCTTGAGATCTTGCCCATCACGAAAGCTGATAGAGTTGCACGGTCTCATTCGAGGCATGACATATAAGAAGATGAATGTTTTATGGTCGCACCTTCCAAGCAAACCTCATATAAACTGCTAAATAACCATACATTATTGCACCATTTACAGTGTAGATGCTCAAATTTTCAGATTAATTTAAAGTAATACTTGAAGAATTTGCTTGCTTGAATTAGAAGGAACAAAAAGAAACTGCAATCATTCTTCCATTTATCATTTTTGCCAGGTTCTACGTATCTATAACTGTCTGTTCACTTAACAACTTTGTTTTTAATATTATGAAATTGGTTTTCATATAAATATATATATATATATATATATATATATATATATATATATATATATATATATATATATATATATATATATATATATATATATATATATATATATATATATATGATCAAAATTATACAGAAATAACATTACAAATATACAATAATTAGAATATACAAACATATAAATATACTGCAATGGGAATGCCCCAATTGACAACCGGACCCAAAAATTAGTTGTTTTTGGACCAACAAGACTATTCCAAAACTTGTGCAACAATTTCATTCTAGCGGGTGGTGACCTGCAATTGCATAGCATCTTCAAATAATAAGTTTCAGATCAAGATAAACATTACAGATAAGTTTCTCGATCAATAGAGGCTTTTTCTCCATACTAACTATTTATGACATCACTTAGCATAAAATCTGGAACCATACAATAAGCTAATACTACAAGATGAAACATGTTTTGTTCAAGAAAAACATGTAAAAGTATACCTTAAGAAGATCAGACTCCATGATGAGCTTACTACGATGCGAACTCCATATCATTTCTCAACTGCATCAAACAATCTGTAATTCTGTATGTTTTTGGATTCAGTCTCCCAGTGTCAAGACTGAACACCCTGTATGGCCTACCCATCAAATGTGCGTACTCGATTAAAGAAACATCTTCTACCCCACTGCAAAGACAAACCTACTCATTAAAATCTGGTGGAAGATCAATTAGGAATTGGTGAACCCGAAATCTAAAGAATATATATCATTAGATCAAAGTGAAAACATGATCCTTCATCTAATGAAGATACTTCAAATGTATTTTGATCTATCTCATAGCTGAGAGCAAATTGGTACATCAAATCCCAAACTAAAGAGACATGGAATACAATGTTTCTTTTCAAGTTCTTGATGTTAGGATTGTTATCGGGAAAATTTATCAATTACCTCAAGCGCATCCTCAAAGCAGTAGGTCGCATGCCTTGATACAAGACAACAGCTTCAACCTACAATGATAATATCAATAGCAAATGCCTCAAGATCTGTATATAGATTTAAATAATGCTCGATATTATTTCTAGAAAGAAATTTCTAGTAGATATGAAGAAAAAAATGAAGATTAAAAGAAAAAAACATAACCTTGTCATCTGTCAAGGTGTGGTGTCCACCAAAGGCACTGTCTGCTTTAGATGATCAAAAGTTCATGCATTTCATCACATCCTTGATCTTTTGAGAAGAGTTATATATAACACAATCAATTTCACATACAATCAAATACAGGAAAAACATGTATTTCTAAATGGATTCAAATTGCACCAAATTATAACCTTGTAAAGAAATCTCCCATAAGGAAAAAATCTCAGGTACCATAAATAACAAACCTACCTCCAGAATATAGAGGGAAGTTATATATATGAATAAAATACGTGAAAAAATGAAACACTTCCCAAGATCTATCGGTAAATCAGTGTACGGACTGTACCGATGTTCAGTAGCCCCGCCGAAGGTGGTTTTCAGAGTTTGTACATAGACACTCCCTTCTGTAAGATTATTTCACATCCGACCTCCTACGGGATCATCAACTTCATCCGCAATGCTATCACACTGCTATCACACATGTTGATTAAGAACAAACACAAAAGTCTTAATTTACTCAAAGATAAAAGGAAAGAATGGACGATGGTTATGTATGCTGAAGGCTTCTCACCTGAACAACAACCTTTTCACCACAACTTGAGGTTCTTTCAATAAATGTTAAAAAACCTGAAGTGTAGTTCTCGCAGTAATAACACTTTGTTGTGATTGGTACTGGATGAGAGCTTGAAAGCCTACAAAGTTTGCAAACATATGATAGAATAGTTAGTAAAACACATAACTCATTGGTGTTAAATTAAAATTTTATGAAACTTCACACAAACGTAATGACGTACATAATTATTGTTCAACAGTTGGATCAACAATATCATTTATTTCTAAGTTATTAATGGTGTCAATGTCCAAGTATTAATGGAGTGGAGGTGTGTGCGCGTGTGCATGAGTGTCTACTTAATTAGACAAAAATATTACATGGTAAAATATAATCCCAATCTTCTCCGTTAAAATTCAGAAAAACTTAATAACAGAAAGAAATAAGAGAAAGGGAGAAATCTGAGAGAATCTGACCTGCATCATAAAGAAGCCAAACATCATGACCACAACTCAACACCTCACAAAGCCAAAAGCATCCATCAATACCATGAACATCAACTTAAATCTCAAATGATAAATTAATTAAATAATTGCCTTAGCTCGTCACTGGAACCACAAAATGTCATCCACTAAAATCGAAATGATAAATTTAAATCTCAAATGAAAATTAAAACAAAAATGTCATTAAACCGAAAAATATGAAAACAATTATACCGTAAACAATTAGACCCTTTTACTCTTATTCTCTGCAAATCTAAAGATGATATATGTTGCCTTTTTATCTTTTGGAAAATCAATGGATTTCAAATACGCGGAAACTTCAAAAGACGATGCAAAAATTTCCTCCTAAAATAACTCAGTTGTTAAATATTTTGAAGTTATTAGTATAGAGAAAACAATTTCTGAGAAAACCTGAGAAGGAAAAAAACAAAAAAGTGAATTAACCTCATTGAAATTCAGGCCAAGTGTTTCAAACTTCTTTCCATATTGTTTCTAAGACTTAGTTAAGTTGTTGGTGACAAAAATCAATCTTTTTCCCTAAGCAAGTTTGTGCAAAAAAGAACAATGACATATTGAATATAATGGATAACAATAACATACACATGTCTACTTCTGATTCATACCTTTGCCCGAAGCATGTCCAGTGTTTTATGCACTCCTTCTATTAAGCTATCACCTTTCTATATAACTCCTGCAAATCAAGTTTCAAATGAGAAGAAAATGTAGGATTACATCAATAAAGAAAGCATCAATGAAACCACTTGTTCATCACTGGAAATCGTTGAAGACACCATCCTAACTGGTGCCACTATCGCTACCGTCACAACATTAGTTGTCGTGGCTACCGTTGCAGTCACAGTCGGTGTTCCCGCCTCCGATAATATTTTTTGTCCCTGTATATCACGGAGTAGATTCTAACGAAAATCAAGAAGCGCAATGCGATTTTGACGATCGTCGGCAGCGAGGAGGAGAGGCGAGGAAGACGATTCAGAAGATAGTAGATGACAGTTGAAAATAGTGAGAAGGGAAAAAGAATTGAAGATGAAGGAAGAAGGAAGATGAGGAGGAAGAAAGAAACAGAACGATAGAGAGAGAAAGAGATAAAGAGATGAAGATGAAATGAAAGAAGTTATCTGAAACCGTTTTGAATTAAAAATCATAGAAACAGTGGTAGTGGAAAACAAAAACAATTTCAAAGACAACTTTTTCCGCCTTTCAAAAAACCACGTGTTGTAATTTTAGAGCAAAATGATAAAATTGATTTTTTGGATAAATCTGATTTCTGTTAGAAATTTAGGGTGTGATAATCCTGGATAACTTCGATGAATCGTGTTCGTACACTTTCCGAACAAAGTATTTCGACCTTATTCTTGTCTGGGTTCACGAAATCTTTGTGGAGATAATTCTCGAAGAAATTCTGTTTCCGACAAAAGAAACGAATTGTAATTATAGAGAGAATGATCTGTTTTTCTGTATCGAGACCGAGGCCGAACGACTCCTTATATAGGAGAACAGTAATTGAAACGAAGAGACACATTTGTTCGAAACGAATATGTCCGTTGGGAAACAGTTATGTCCGTTGGGAAACAGTTATGTCCGTTGGGAAACAGTTATGTCCGTTGGGGAACGGTTATGTCCGTTGGGGAAAGGATTCAAAATTTTTGCCAGGGGCGCTGCCCCGCACCCCGCCCGCTGACCTGGCAGCGGGACCCCAGCCAGGGGCTTCCGCCCCTTGGACCCCGCGGGGCGCTGCCCCGCACCCCACCAGGGGCTTCGCCCCTTGGAACCCCAACGGGGCGCTGCCCCGCACCCCGCCAGGGGCTTCGCCCCTTGGAACCCCGTTTCAATTATTCGTATTCAATTATGTATTGGCTCGACGAGCGTGCACTCCGCACTTCCCTAACTCGTCTCCGAACTTAACGCATAATTGCATCGGCCTTTAGAAATCACATTACTACTAAAATACATTGGTGATACAAAATCGCCAACAAATCCCCCCCATTTTAGTGTAATCCTTGATTAACTCAGTATATATAGTTATATACAAGGGTACAATATACAGGTAAAACGATTAAACACATGCATAAACGAAAATGTCTTACGATTGAATTTTCATCTTAGTACAAATACACATTCCAAATACTCGAAAATCGGGGTGTCATAAAGATTGAACCCGTCAATCCATTTGAACATCTGAAGATACAGTACACATATGTTTCTTACAATACTCTACTATTCATTCTTGACACTTTTACAAGCCATGTGTCCTTATCCATTAATAAGCATATAGAAAGCCAAGTCCAAGCTTCCTGAAGCGGCAAAACTTCATGCTCACATAGGTGATCCCTTTAATCTTGCACCTGCATTTGCAATTTTTCAAAGAGAACCATTAAGAAGATATACTTCAACCTAGTCATTACTTGCAGATCTGAGCACATACCTTGGGAAGATAAACACGAGTGCTCCAATCCCTAACTATGATCTTTCCACATTGAATTTTGCTTCTAACGTTGTATTAGAAGGGAATTGGGTATACCATAGCTAACGGATTTAAATGAACTTTAATCCCATCCCAATTACCGACTTCTTCACTAAGTCTCTAGCTAACCCCTTCGTCAAGTGGTCAGCTAAGTTTTGTTGCGACCGAACAAAATCAATAGATATCACCCCATTCATGATTAATTCCCTAATCATACTATGTCTAACACCCAAATGTCTAGACTTCCCATTGTATATTTGACTATAAGCCTTAGCCAATGTGGCAGTACTGTCACAACGAATAGATATTGGTGATATTGGTTTAGGCCATATCGGAATCTCATATACCAAGTTCCTTAGCCATTCCGCTTCTTTACCAGCAGCAGCTAATGCCACAAACTCAGATTCCATTGTGGAACTGGTTATACATGTTTGCTTCTTGGAAGCCCACGAAATGGCACCTCCCCCAAGCAAGAACACCCATCCACTTGTTGAGGATGAATCTTCAGCATTGTTTATCCAACTAGCATCTGAGTAACCTTCTAACACCGAAGGAAATCCCATATACGACAATCCATAATTCATAGTACCCTTCAAGTACTTGAATACCCTAGTTATTGCATGCCAATGGTGTCTACTAGGATTACTAGTAAATCTACTCAACTTTCCAACCGCATAAGCAATATCCGGTCTAGTGCTAATCATAGCATACATCAAAGAGCCTATAGCTCTTGAGTATTCGAGTTGATCCACAGGTTTACCTGTATTTGGCATGAGTTTTTCTCCCGGATCCATGGGAGTACTTACTGGAGAACAACTTTCACAATTGAACTTCTTGAGTATTTTCTCAATGTAATGGGATTGAGTAATTACAATCCCTTTATTCTCCCGTTTAATCTTAATACCAAGAATAACGTCCGCTTCTCCCATATCCTTCATGGAGAATTTTGATGACAGAAAATTCTTTGTTTTATCAATTTGATTTTGGTCGGTGCCAAAGATCAACATGTCATCAACATATAGACAAATGAAAACTCCTTTACCAGATGTATCAAATTTTCTATATACACATTTGTCAGCTTGGTTTAGAATGAAACCATTAGACAAAACAACCTCATCAAACTTTTGATGCCACTGCTTCGGAGCTTGTTTCAGCCCATACAATGACTTAACTAGCTTACACACTTTATGCTCATTACCAGGCATAACAAATCCTTCAGGTTGCTTCATATACACTTCTTCTTCCAAATCACCATTTAGAAATGCTGTTTTGACATCCATTTGATGAATCACTAAGTTATGAATAGCCGCCAAGGCAATCAACAGTCTAATAGTAGTGATACGAGCAACTGGAGCATAGGTATCGAAATAATCGATCCCTTCCTTTTGTCTGAAGCCTTGGATAACTAATCTAGCTTTAAACTTGTCAATTGTACCATCGACTTTCATCTTCCTTTTGAAGATCCATTTGCAACCCAATGGTTTGCAACCTGGTGGTAAATCAGACAATACCCAAGTATTATTTTCCATGATAGAACCAATCTCTTCATCAATTGCTTCTTTCCAAAAAACAGAGTCTCGAGACTTCACAGCTTCATCATATGTTCTTGGATCCTCCTCTATACTATAGCAATAATAGTATTGAGTATCAATCTGATCCTTTGATCCCTCAACCAAATATAGTTGAAAATCAGATCCATAAGTTCTAGATTTTCTAGCTCTTTTGCTCCTACGAGGTTCAAGTGTCTCACTTGGCACATCATTTGAATGATCATCCCTTGGAGATTCATCTGAATTAGGTATAGAAATCTTTGGCCTAGGTATAGAAGAGAAACAATTCTCATCAAATATGGCATCTCTTGATTCTATTATTGTGCTAATAGAAATCGAGTCATTAGGCTCTATAACATAAAACCTATAGGCCTTGGAGTGCTCAGCATATCCAACAAAGATGCAAGCTATACCCTTTTCACCCAAAGTTTTCCTTTTTGGGTCCGGGAGTCTAACCACGGCCCTACAACCCCAAACACGTAGAAATGTTAAGTTGGGTCGTCTCTTATACCAAAGTTCATATGGGGTAGTCTTGTTCCTTTTATTAGGAACCCTATTTAACAAATAGCAAGCCGTTAACATAGCTTCTCCCCAAAACCCTTCACTCAGACCAGAGTAGGATAACATGGCGTTCACCATTTCCTTAAGAACTCTATTTTTCCTTTCAGCCACACCATTTTGTTGAGGTGTATAAGGTGCCGTAGTTTCATGAATGATTCCTACGGACTGGAAAAACACAGGATCATAATATTCACCACCTCTGTCTGTACGTAATGTTTTAATCAGTACATTCTGTTGCACTTCAACTTCAGTTTTATAGATTCTAAATTTATCTAAGGCTTCATCCTTAGCGTGCAACAAATAAACATAGCAGAATCTAGACGCATCATCTATGAAGGTGATAAAATACTTTTTATGCCCTAACGAAGGAGTAGCATGCAAATCACATAAATCACTATGTACCAATTTAAGAATGATAGATTTCCTTGTTATACTTTTAAAAGGTTGCCTAGTGATCTTTGTTAACATACAAGTTTTACACTTTTCTACATTTCCATTAAAATTAGGAATTAAATCATTTTTAGACATTTCATGCATTCTTTTATAGTGTACATGTCCTAGACGAGCATGCCATAACGAAAAATTAATAACATTTGACGAGGACATAAAAACAGAACCAGATTCATTAGGAACTCCATTCAAATTCATCATAAACATACCATTATTATAATATCCAAATCCTACAAACACACCAGACTTCGATAATACATATTTATCGGATTCACACACTTGCTTGTATCCAAGCTTGTTTAATACAGGACCAGAAATTAAATTCTTATGTAATTTAGGAACATACAATACATTAAACAAAGTAATAGTCTTTCCAGAACTGAATTCTAGCACCACGTTTCCTTTGCCTTCAACGGGAGCGAAGTGATCATCTCCCATGTAGAGGACAGAACCATCTTCCACTGGAACAAGAGTCTTGAACCAGAAACGATCCTTGCAAACATGTGTTGTGGCACCAGAATCAATCCACCACGCGGCAGCATCATCCTGCACATAAAATGCTTCAGAATTTAGTGAAACCGAATGTTTAATCAAACTA